TTTTTTTTTTTTTCAGATACCATTCTGAGTGAGCTTGGTGGAAGAGAGCTGGGTGGAAATCCAGAAGGTTTCCCTGGTGCTGCGTTGAAAGGCCATGCTGGGAAGTCCTGGACTCAAGTGGTCTTTGCAACACGGCAGGCTCAGATAGAGGCCGGGGTTACACAAGGTGCTGTTCTCGTCACACTGAGGGCACACCAGAAATGTCAACCAACAACTGGAGCGGTCATAGAAAAGAAGACATCGTTGAGGGAGTTGGAGGGGGTCGAGTCTCACCTTGTAAACGAAGAGTTCATGGCTCTGATCAGACAGCGTGGTCCCGTCGTCCCTCATCAACGGCGTGAAGGAAAAACCAAAGAGTTTCTTGTCTCCTTTGTCTTTGGCTTCATGAAAGCAGAGAGAAGACGAGCTGACAATGGAGAAGCGGTCTTGGGTCGGGAGCACCGAAACCCAGCCCGGCCTCAAAACCTCACTGGAACAATGTCGGAACTCGAAGCGGAGGTGACAGCCTCGGAATCGGTCGACGGGGACGGGAAGTTTGATGGCCTCGCTCCATCGAGGGCTGTTGCTGTGGTAAAGCACCAAGGAGCGATGCTCCGTCACGTTGGGCTCGCCGCAACCCACGCTGATGCAGTCCTGTCAAAATGACAGCGAAAAGGAGCCCCGGTTATTCACACGCTCCCTTTTGCCCTCCAAATGCCAAAGACGACGACAACTTGCTGCGCGGCGACGCAGCGAGTGAACACTGGATGACGCTGATTGAAAAGCTGCCCTCTTGCCTTTTGTCGTGAGGCGGCAATGAGCCCCAGATGCTTCTTGCGAATAAAAGCTCCCTTCCGTACTGGACGCTACTTTCTCCTTTCATTGCCATCATTTCCCGCTCTGCGCTTAGATCGCCCCCATGAGAGAGTTTGACGGTGAACAGAAAGTATCGATCTCCGGCTTCTAAATGTTCATTCGGCATCTTCCGGCAGACCTCCTCACTCCACTCCTCCCTCGCTATAAGTCA